TATATATATATATATATATATATATATATATATATATATATAAGTATTTCAAAATTCATTCAAATCAATCATAGTACAAAGTACAAAATACTTAACTACAAAATTTTAAATAATTTAAATTAAATATTATAAATTAAAATCAATTCAAAAGTCCTCATTACTACTGTAGACAATTCATTTATTAAAAAAAAACATTTAGTGTAAAAAATTTTATTATTTCTAAATTAATTCAAAACAATCATAATTCTTTCATAATCTTGGAATTATTGTAATCAATGCAAAATACTGACAAAAATCTAAAGTACAAAATACTTAAGTACAAAACGAATAATAATCTAAATGAAATGTTAAAAATACAGTTAGTTAAAATGTCCTCATTCTTCATGTATAAAGTCAATTTATCATAAAATTACATTTAACAAGCCCATTTATTATAAAATTAAGTTCCACCTTGCATTATTCTGTTTCAGTTTGGAAAAGTCACATCAGAAGTTACATTCGGTTCATGCTGATACAATGCCAGTTTAGTGATCCCACATCTGAGGTTAATCAATTGTGTGTGTTTTAGGAGTGCTAGTAATGCCTTACTTGTAATCTTGAATCAATGTGTACATCTACTCACCTCCTCTCTAAATTTGCTGAAATCTGCAAAGTTTGGCTGCTGAACGGCCTTCTGGGAACTCTTCTCTGAACCAGGGAGGAAGCTGAAGATCTGAGACATTGAATTAAGACACAAGTTATTATACAACACAGTAACAGAAGAGTAAAGTACCAAAACCATAAACCACTGCATGAAACAGACCTATAATCTGATTGGATGAGCCATGTTTGAAACCATAGTAAAACAGCTGATAGAAACTGCACATCAATTACATTCTATATTATTGCACCAAAATGTAGATCATCTTTGACCAGTCACAAACCAGCATAAGGTCAAGTTGGGTTTTGGCAGATGAAAGCAGGTCAAACAGCTAATGACAAGCTAGAAACCAGCTGCCATGATTTAAAACACAGATGCCAGGCATCAGGAAACACTCTAAATGAGCAGATGCTGAGTGGTTCACCTGTGTAGCTGGTGGTCGTGGAGGGAGAGCTGGAGGAGGAGGCAACCATCCACTTTTAGCACCTGAGAGAAGAGAAGAAATTCAGAAAGCTACAAGAAAACCTTCCCAGCCACTCTAAAACTGCTACTACTAGTAAAGATTCATTAACACAATTCAACACTATAAATTACTTCACATCTGCTATGTACTGCAATAATCATCATTTCTTTTGCACAACTTATTTACTAAAATATTACAAGTACAGACAATTGAGAAGTAATCACACACACACTACTGTAGCAAAATAAACAAATAAATACATTAAAAAAAAAAAAAAAATATATATATATATATAATTAGTGATTAAGCTAGTTTTCCTCTGAGTTGGCAAACAGTATTCACTCAAACAGTATTTAAAACTACAAGATTGGATTAAGTTAAAATGTTCAATTATATATATATATATATATATATATATAAAATGTATTGTACATATACAATAAATTACATTTTAAAACATATTAAAACAGAAAACAGTTATTTAAAATTGCAATAATTTTTCACACTATAACTGTTTTTACTGTATTTTTTATCAAATAAATGCAGCCTGTGAGTTTAATGCACTAACAATCAAGCCTAGGCCATTTATATAATTGTTTGCCTGCCATGAAACTCGCTGAGAATCTGAAGTATGATGACAATTCAGCAATGAACTCTGTGGTAATAGCTTCAGTGCAAAATTAATCTATGAACATTTTATTCTTTTAAACATTTATATGGTTTAGACTAGACTCAGAATGTGTTTATGTGTCTCAAATCCTCACCTGTGAACACCACATTTGAACGTACAGAGCTGCAGCCGGTTGCAACAAACCTTTCAAACTTAAGAAAACCCTTAATAATAATGTCCTTCAAATTAAGACTAACTAAGGGTTTACTTAACTTGCAATGTTTTTTCACAACTGGGACCAGAACTTTATTTGACATCGGACAAGGCACAACTACAACCACAAAGATCATTTGTTTTCCAATCAAATACTCATCTTATCAAAGCTCTTTTCAAAAATTGGTAGGTTGGCGTATTATTCTTACTTTGTGAACTTGCGGCTTCATACATTTTAAGAATAAACTTTCAATATTTTCTCAGAGAATCCTGTTACTGCATTTGCAAAAGTATCCACACAGTTAGTGGTGCTTTACGGTCAAATGCGCCAATACAACTCTAGGACAGCCAATACCGCATTGAAAATCAAGTCAAATATTTATTTAAATTAAAATGAATGTAATAAATGTAAGATATTTCAATGTCTGTACTTTGTATTCTCAGCATATGAAAGTCTGTACGTGTAAACGGTTAAATACTCAGGGAATGTTGGGATGGGCGAGAACCTTGACCACTCTGTTGGAAGAGCTTGTTGAGGTCGAGAGAGGAGGCGCGGGAGTGAGTCTTCTGGGGTCGAGGAGGAGGAGTGGGCGGCTCCTCCACCTTCTTCATGGCATCGTCTATGGAGGTGCTGGAATACGACCTGTGGGTAAACCAAACATACAGACCTCTTTTACACTGTAAGAAATAAATAGCAATATGTAGTTGTACCACGGTACAGTGAGGGATTTAGATGATACTTTGGTGTAAGCACCATAGTATTTACATGGTACTTTAGGTACTTCAAAAAACTCCTTCGTACTTTTCTGTTGGGAAAGTTATACATTGTAGTACAGATACTGTAAAAGATGCTAGTCCATGCAAAACTCATCACTTTTAGGGCGCCACACTGTTGCTATGAAGTTGTTTACTTGTTAAGGTGGAAATCTATTGATTATTTTTTGCCTTTTTTTTGTCCAGAAGCTAAACTGAAATGCAGAAACACAACAAACAACATAATCTGACAAATCATGTCAGTTTGTTTAATACTTAGGTTACATGCAATAATAATAATAATAATAATAATAATAATATTTTTACGATAGCAATAATAATACATTTTATTAATAATAATAAATAATTATTAAATAATAATAATAATAATCATTATTATTATAAAATGTTAGAATTGTTATAATTATAAAACAATGAATAATAATAATAATTGTATTATAGTAATAATAATACAATTTATTATTATTAATAATAATAATAATAATAAATAATAATTATTAAATTATTGTTTTTATTATTAGTATAAAATGTTAGAATTAATATAATTATAAAACAATGAATAATAATAATAATAATAACGGTGAACCCCTGATGTCACATGGATTATTTTACCGATCTCCTTGTTACGTTTCTGGACATTGATCGTGGTAGTACCCTTGCTGTCTATGGGAGGGTCAGAGAGCTCTCAGAATGCATCAAAAATATCTTAATTTGTGTTCCGAAGATGAACGAAGATCTTATGGGTTTGGAATGACATGAGGGTGAGTAATCAATGATAGAATTCTCATTTTTGAGTGAACTAACCCTTTAAATTTAATGTGTCTGTGTTTGAATAAAAGTATGAATTTATAAAAAATAAAAAAACCTTTGTGTAGCAGTAGTGAAAGTTTAAAAAGGTTTTACCTGGGCCGTGTTCTTGACTTCATGTTTGCATCAAGCTCTTGTGGAGAATCTGTAAAACATTGTATGTTATTAAACAGTTACACAGTAAAAGTATTATTTCTGCAATACAACTGACCAAACTCTAAAGAGAAACCTTATTTATTTCATTTAAAAGCCAAACAAAGGCATCGTACTTTACTTACTAAGAACATCCCAAAAATGAACCTGTCATCTACAAGAGAACAAAGCCACAACCTGAAGCTTTAAGCCTAAACTGAACTGCTCACTCTAGCCAAAAGAGTCCACTTCTCAACAGAAACACTGAATCGTAACACTAAAACATCAAACACACTCGAGAGCATCGATACTATCCAAACAATAGCATCTGAAACAGGCCTTGAACACCTACAGCTGCAGTTAACACCTCAAACGGGCCTCTTTCTCCGATCCCATCATGCACCGGGGCATAGACAAAAACTCAGTATCAACTTGGATTCTCTTTTCTACCAACACTGAGGAAAAAAGCATTTCATAAGAACCATATTGGAAGCAATGTTGCATTCAAACTGAAGTAATAAAACGCAGGATTATTTGTGAACGCCCAGGGATCTGGGCACTTTAATAAATATGAGCTGTTATTGGATCAGAGCAGACTGCATGAAATATTAGAACAAAAGGTCAGTGCTGTGGATATAACGGGCTTTGCGTCCACACCCAGAGGCGCTGAGAGGTTTTACTTCATAACATCACACCCATCATGAGAGAAAATAACAAACAGGCCTCTGCTAGATTGATACACTGGCTAAATGTGACTTCAACCTGATATGATGATCACAAGAGCTGATTTGCCAAGAGACAGCAGTGATTGGTCCGTTTTTAATTATGATTCATCTTATCATGGGTCACTTAAAGAGACAATTCACCCAGAAATGAGAAACTGTGTCACAATTTATTCATGTTGTGGCAAATGACAAATACAAATGACTTTCTTCTGTGGGACACAAAAGTAGATGTTTTGTAGATTGTTCATGCTGCCCTTTACAATACAGTGGAAATAAATGGGAACAAACACACTTGAGCTCAAAAAGCACCCAAAAGTAGCTCATATGATTCATACACATTTGCATTCATTAATTTAGCAGACTTACAAATAAGGAATATAACAAGCTATTCAGCTGTCCTGTTTCAGATTATATTGTTTAGACAGCATTGATGTTATTGACTGGAGGAAGCATTATTATGGACTATGGACTCATATTTTGCAATGGTTTAAAGTAAAACGCTTTAATGACGGATTTGTTTCTTACAAACACCCAGCTTTTCGCTTCCCAAGAAATTAACTGATGGATTAGAGTCGTGTGGATTATTGTGATGTTTTTATCAACTGTTTGGACTCTCATTCTGACGGCACCCATTCACCGCAGAGGATCCACTGGTGAGCAAGTGATGTAATGCTAATGCTCTCCAAATCTGTTCCCATGAAGAAACACACTCATCTTCATCTTAGATGGACTGAGAGTAAGCACATTTTCAGCAAATAATAATTTTTGGGTGAATTATTTGAAGTACTAAAAATTGTTAAAATAAATTAAACCTGAATAGAAATATCAATAAAACCCTTAAACTAAAACAAACTAAAATAAAAAAAAGCTAAAAATAAAAGCCAATTTAAAATATGAATAAATACTATAATAATATATACATAATACTAAAATAACACATGTAATAAACGAAATCAATCTTATTTATTTGTTTGTTTGTACTGCTGTGTTGGCTTTTCCTGCAGGTCTAGAATTCTCTATCAGGCTCAATTCTGCTGGCAGAAATAAAAGTGAACAATAAGAGCAATACTGAAATAACAATATCAATAAGTTTACATTGCATTTGGAAGTATGGAAGAGTGGCCCCAAAAATATCTGTGCACTGAAGACACTGAAAAATCTATTATTGCATTAAATTATAAAATATCAAAGCAAGTGCAGTTTATTTTAAAGCACAAATGCACTAACTTAAAAAAAATCACTTAATTTGTTTGTTAGGTTTGACACTTAATGACACTTTAAATATTAATTAATGACTCTAAATGTCACCGCACTGGATAAAAAAAATATCAAAGCAAGTGGCATTTGTCATTCGAATGTTCATGTATTCAAAATACTGTGTGATGTTAGTTACATGAGACACAAAAAACAATGTTTCTGGTGTGATTGATTTTAAACCTGGTACAGCATATCTTCATGCGCTATAAGTTTGAAAATAAGCGATCTTGAGCTTCTGAGGTACAGAAGATTTTCAGTAAATAACAAATGTTGGTCTGTTTTTTTACATTAAACTGCCTTATTGCATCGGAAGACCTGAAATCTAGTGCACTTGGGCAACTTTCATGAGAATTTTATAGTGCATTTTTTTAAAATTTTGAGCTAGACAGCATCCATTCACTTGCACTTTTATGGAAAAGAGCACCTGGAACGTTCTGCTACACATCTCTCTCTGTGTTACACAAAAGAAAAGTCATACAGGTTGGACAAAATGAGAGTGAGTAAATGACCACAGAATTTTCATTGTTTCCTGAACACAGACAGTAAAGCACAGGTAAATTAGAGGCTTTGGTTTATTCGGTGTGGGTCAGGGGCGTGTGCGCGGCCCGCTGCGCCTGAGGACAGTGACTCACCTGGTTTTAAAGTGCTGACACGCTGTATTGGCTTTTCGTGCGGGTCTGGAATTCTCTTTGGGCTGAATTCTGCTGACACAGCAATAAAAACACACAATAAGAGCAGTGAAATAGATCATCTACATGAGAATTTCAGTAAGTTTACAGGTTTTCCCTCTTAAGTGTGGAAGAGTGGGGCCCAAAAAATATCTGCACACTGAAGACACTGAAAAATCTATTATTGCATTAAATTATAAAATATCAAAGCAAGTGCAGTTTATTTTAAAACACAAATGCACTCACTTAATTTGTTTGTTAGGTTTGACACTTAATACAGGCACTTCATTTTATATTTTGTAGGTATTATTATTATTATTTAGACATTTTTAAGTGTCCAAATACTTTTTGAGCCACTGTATAAAAAGAATTAGCTATATTTTTCCTTTAATCGTATTTATGCTTATTGACATCTGTCTCTAAAGTCATTACCCGGTTTCCTGCTTTCATCTCTCGTGTCCTGTTTAGCGGTCACACCTGGTCTAGAGGTCATCTGCAGGTCAACAGAACCCATTTCCTGTTTGGGAAAATGAAAAGCCAGCATAAAATGACTGATATGAGGACATTTAGAGGTTTACTCAGATATAAGGGCTGGACTAGGTGGATTTTTGATTACTGAGATCTCATATGAGACTCATTAGCACCCTCTGCCTTCAGACAAACAGACATTCTCAGAGAAAATTGCACAAGAATACATTTACTATATATTTATATAGTAAATGTATTCATGTGAAGTTTTTTTTTTTACAACCAGGGACTGTTATTGATAGCAAAAGCTGAATGAATGAATGAATGAATAAACCACAATAAACCATTAAACCAGTGATTTTATAGTTAACTAAAACAACAGCAAAAATATTGTTAATTGTAAAACAACAACAAGAACAACTAAAAATCGGTTAATTTATTTATTTTTTGTTAAGTGACAAAAATATATAAATTAATTTAAATAAAAATATATACAAACCCAATTCCAAAAAAGTTGGGACACTGTACAAATTGTGAGTAAAAAAGGAATGGAATAATTTACAAATCGTATTATTATTATTATTTAGACATTTTTAAGTGTCCAAATACTTTTTGAGCCACTGTATAAAAAGAATTAGCTATATTTTTCCTTTAATCGTGTTTATGCTTATTGACATCTGTCTCTAAAGTCATTACCCGGTTTCCTGCTTTCATCTCTCGTGTCCTGTTTAGCGGTCACACCTGGTCTAGAGGTCATCTGCAGGTCAACAGAACCCATTTCCTGTTTGGGAAAATGAAAAGCCAGCATAAAATGATTGATATGAGGACATTTAGAGGTTTACTCAGATATAAGGGCTGGACTAGGTGGATTTTTGATTACTGAGATCTCATATGAGACTCATTAGCACCCTCTGCCTTCAGGCAAACAGACATTCTCAGAGAAAATTGCACAAGAATACATTTACTATATATTTATATAGTAAATGTATTCATGTGAAGTTTTTTTTTTTACAACCAGGGACTGTTATTGATAGCAAAAGCTAAATGAATGAATGAATAAACCACAATAAACCATTAAACCAGTGATTTTATAGTTAACTAAAACAACAGCAAAAATATTGTTAATTGTAAAACAACAACAAGAACAACTAAAAATCTGTTAATTGATTTTTTTTGTTAAGTGACAAAAATATATAAATTAATTTAAATAAAAATATATACAAATCCAATTCCAAAAAAGTTGGGACACTGTACAAATTGTGAGTAAAAAAGGAATGGAATAATTTACAAATCTCATAAACTTATATATTATACACAATAGAATATAGATAACATATCAAATGTTGAAAGTGAGACATTTTGAAATGTCATGCCAAATATTGGCTCATTTTGGATTTCATGAGAGCTACACATTCCAAAAAAGTTGGGACAGGTAGCAATAAGAGGCCGGAAAAGTTAAATGTACATATAAGGAACAGCTGGAGGACCAATTTGCAACTTATTAGGTCAATTGGCAACATAATTGGGTATAAAAAGAGCCTCTCAGAGTAGCAGTGTCTCTCAGAAGTCAAGATGGGCAGAGGATCACATTTTCTCAGTTTAAACATTTGATATGTCATCTATGTTGTATTCTGAATAAAATATTGAAATTTGAAACTTCCCCATCATTGCATTCTGTTTTTATTCACAATTTGTACAGAGTCCCAACTTTTTTGGAATCGGGTTTGTATATATTTCAGTGGCAGCTAAAGGAAATAAAATGTTTAAGTTAAAATACTAAAATGATAAAAAAAAATCTAAAACTGAAATAAAATAAATCTAAATAGAAATATTAAAAAACACTTAAAACCAAAACTTAAAAAAAAAAAAAAAAACTGAAATAAACTAAATAAATCTTATTCATTTACTTATTTTCAACCATCACTCTGCAACTGTTCTTGTTATTTGTTTTGATGCTTTGGCAATTTTGTGTGCAGATCATTATGCCAGTAAAGCGTTTTAATACTGAAAATCGAAAGAGAGAGAATGAGAGACAAAAAGGACAGAACGAAATATACAGAACATTGAGATCTTGGCATCAATGTTAAATGAAGATCTTCTTACGAGCTGATTGGCTCCAGGCATCATTTTGTCATCAAAAACAATAAGAGGTTCAGTCGCCTGTAAAGCAAACCCATTTGGAGCTCAGTTCAAACTTGTCAATCTGAATTTTCTCATAATTGCAGGACATGATACTGAATAAGAAATACTAGACAGTTTTAAACTAGACATCATTAAATACTTCAGGTGTAAATATTGTAGGCATTTTGCGAGTTTTAGATCTCATACCTCAGATGGTGGCACTGTAACCACACCTGGTTCCACAAAGCCAGGTCTCAGCGTGGCGGGGAGCGTTTCAGGAAGAGGGTAACCATTTTTCCGGGCCACGATCAGATGGAAGGCAGTGCAGAACTCTGGGAAAGTGAGAGCACCGTCCTTGTCGACGTCGCTCAGCTCCCTGAAGGACATCAAACAAGATCGTTTGAATACAAAGAGATAGTTCACTGTATGTTTAAGAGGAACTGAGGCTTTATGTTCACCATATATGAGACAGCTCTGGAATCGGAAGCTTCGACTTGGTGAAGAAGTTTTTTGCTACAGTTCCTGCAAGCATAACCAATGCAAACTTCAAAAGTGTCCACATGAAGTCATAAATCTAACAGAATGAGATGATCTCAGATGGATCTCTCTTACCCATGATGAGAGCATTGAGGTCCGGCTGGAGACTCCTGAACTGGTTGGTGTAGTATTCACGCTGCTCCTCTGTGATCCTCCAGGGCTCGTCTGAGTAATCGATCTCCGCTCGCTCCACCAGCCGCTCCACAGACGCAACCTGAATCAGAAAAACAACTGTCTGAGGAAAACTGAAAGCCCGCAGATGAAAATATTTTCCAATTACATATGCCTTTCACTGAAGGAAACAGCAGGCTCTTGTTGATCAGTCAATAATGGAAAAAGAACTTCTGAACGCTTTTTATATAAAACAAATTGAAGTGGGACTGTACTTTTCAAAAGTCATGTGCAGCCTTTGCATGGCAGAATGTAATGAATTATAATTAAAGCTCAACATTTGTGAAATACCATCTATGAAACCATTAATGTCATTAATAAGATTATAATTTTTTTTTTTCAAAATACAGGTAACTTTTTCTCAGCATCTCTTACTATTAAACATAATACACAACTATAGGTAAGCCTTTTGTAAGTTTATTCTACTGAAGATGTTTTATATTTTCAAATGAAAACGAAATAAAAATAAGAGAAATAATCAGGAAATTCGAGATTTAAATATATATATATATATATATATATATATATATATATATATATATATATATATATATATATATATATATATATATACACAGTCATGTGAAAAAGTTAGGACACCCTATTGAATTCCATGATTTTCCATATCAGGACATAATAAAAAATTATCTGGTCCTTGGCAGGTCTTAAAATTTGGAAAATGAAACCTCAGATGAACAACAACACATGACATATTGCACCGTGCCATTTAACAAAAATAAAGCCAAAATGGAAAAACCATTTGTGACAAAGTTAGAACACCCTTACTATTAACATAGGAATTAAGAGGCTAAGTAGCAGTCAGGCTCTACTAATCAAATGCCTTTGATTAACTGATCATCAGCAAGTGTGAGCACCTCTATAAAAGCAAAAGTTTGGGCAGTTTGCTGGTCTGGAGTATGGAGTCAAAATAATGCCACATATATATGCAAAATAATAAAGTTTTGCAAAAGAAAATTAAGTTTTGCAAAAGAAAATAAAGTTTTGCAAACGAAAATAAAAGTATTGAGAAAAAATAAATGTGTTTTTGCAAACAAAAATAAAGAATTGCAAAAGTTGCAGCGTTGCAAATAAATTAGTAGATATGGCCATGGAAAATATGTATTGCAAAATCATTGCTTTTCTGCGGTTTCATTTATATTTTGCAATTCTTTATTTTTGTTTGCAAAACTTATTTTTTTCTCGCAATACTTCATTTTCTTTTGCAATTCTTTATTTTTGTTTGCAAAAACACATTTATTTTTTCTCAATAGCCCTTCGAGCCTCTGCAGTCAGTAGAGCTTAAGGTTCTGTCATTAAAGACAGCGCTCCTCACCGCTTTGGCCTCAGTCAAGAGGGTAGGGGACCTGCAGGCATTCTCGGTCGATGATTCTTGCCTAGAATTCGGGACGGGTAACCCTCACGTTGTCCTGAGACCCTGGCCCGGATATGTGCCCAAAGTTCCCACCACGCCTTTCAGGGATCAGGTGGTGAACTTGCAAGCGCTGCCCCGGGAGGAGGCAGACCCAGCCATCGCTCTGCTCTGTCCCGTTCGCGCTCTGCGCATTTACGTGGACCGTACGCGGAGCTTCAGGACCTCAGACCAGCTCTTTGTCTGCTTTGGAGGTCAGCAGAAGGGAAAGGCTGTCTCCAAACAAAGACTTGTTCCCTCCTTCAGGGAACGAGGGTTACACAAGTAACCTAGACGTTTCTTTTGCAAAACTTAATTTTTCATATATATGTGGCATTATTTTTACTCCACACTGGAGCCTTCAGGTGTGTGCTAACACAATGCCAAGGAGGTAAGACATCAGCAATAATATTGAAGCAATTGTTGCTGCCATCAATCTGGGAAGAGTGCCATTTCCAAACAATATGAAGTCCATCATTCTAAAGTGAGGAAGATTATTCACAAGTGGAAGACATTCAAGACAGACACCAATCCTCCCAGGAGTGGACGTCTCTGTAAATTCACTCCAAGATTAGACCATGTAACGCTCAGAGAAATGGCAGACAACCCAAGAGATACACCGGAGACTCCACGGGCCTCAGCTAACATGTGAAATGATAAAGTTCATGATAGTACAATTAGAAAAATATGGGACAAGTATGGCATGTTTGGAAGGCTTGCCAGAAAAAAGCCTCTTCTCTCTAAAAAAAATCATGGCAGCACGGTTTAGGTTTGCAAAGGTGCATCTAAACAAACCATAAGACTTCTAGAACAATGTCTTTTGAACAGACGAGCCCTTTGGCCATAATGCACAGCATCACGTTTGGTGAAAACCTAAAAAGCATTTCAGCACAAACACAGTCACACATGCTGGTGGAGGGCTGATGATTTTGGGCTTGTTTTATAATCACAGGACCTGGGCACCTCACAGTCATTGAATCGATCATGAACTCCTCTGTATCCCAAAGTATTCTAGAGTCAAATCTGACGGCATCCGTCCGATAGCTAATGCTTGGCCAATATTGGGTCATGGAACAGCACAATGATCCCAAGAACACCAGCAAATCTACAACAGAACGACTGAAAAGAAAAGAATCAAGGGGTTACAATAGTCCAGTCAAAGTCCAGAGCTCATCCTAACTGAAATGCCGTGGTGAGAGCTGTGCATAAACAAATGCCCTCAAACCTCAATAAACTGGAGCAACGTTGTAAAGAAGAGTGGGACGAAATTCCTCCAGAACAATGTGAGAGACTGATTAAGTCATACAGAAAATGATTAATTCAAGTTATTGCTGGTAAAAGTGGATCTACAGGCAATTGAATCATAGGGTGTCCTAACTTTGTCACACATGGTTTTTCCATTTTAGCTTAATTTTTGTTAATTAAATAATAACACAGTGTGATATGTAATGTGATGCTGTTCATCTGAGGTTTATTTTCCAAATTTTAAGACCTGCCAAGAACCAGATCATTTTTTATTATGTCCTGATACAGAAAACCATGGAATTCAATAGGGTGTCCTAACTTTTTCACGACAGTATATATATTTCCTGTGGATCTCCCTTATGTATGTATATATTTTTTTTTTCTCCACAGTAGAAATGCTTTTTGAATGCATGTTTAATACGAAGAAAAAAAAAATCTACCGCACACTACTGTAGCTTGCAAACACAATATAATTCATATCTATTATTCAATATATTACTATTAACGTGTCAGTCATGTGATCTTCACCAAGCATTGTGAAATTAAGAAATGCTTGACAAAGGTTACAAGATACAGTATCATATCAGATTTTTTAGGTTTTTCTCTTCCCTTCATATTGTTTTGATGTTTTATGCTCATGTCTGTAATCATTTTGGATGCAATTTACCTAATATTTATCTATTTTTTGTAAGCATGTCTAACAAAATACGGGGCCTGGTGTGTATCTGCCCCGACTTGTTATTACTGATAATCTAACAAAAAAAATACACTTTTAAAAAGCAGTTTCATGACCTATATCCTGATTTAGAGACCTAATGTGTTTCCTCATTTAAGACTGACACCCAGATTTCTATTTGATCGTCCAATGCTCACACATGTGATGACAGGATGCTCCGACTGCAGTTTGAGAGAATAATGACTGGGAGAGGAGTTTTCCTGAGGAACGCTGAGACGACCCGGCACGTTACCATCATGCGCTGTGAATGACAATGAGAGAGAGTGAACATTTCAAGGTGAAGACAGACAACATGGCTTTACAGTTGACAGCACATAGCGTTTCATTACTGTGATCACTGTTTTTGGCATCGAAACAATTCCCAGCACTGTAAATGACACACTGATGCAGATGACAGAGCAAAACAGCATTAAACACTATCAGCAGATGCTTGTGAGATAAAAGACACACTTTCAGACTCAACTAAAACCGAAGAAGAGTAAAAGTTTTCAGCTTAGACTTAATGGAATAATAAATGTAAAATACTGAAAGAGCATCAATTATTCAGTATGAGGTTCGTGATGGCCATGATCTTTGATATAACTGCAATCTGAAAGAATAAAGGAGGCCTGACTGGGTTTTGATCTCATGAGTGTTCTTTACATCTGAAGCCCTTCCAGAGCATCGTAGATTCTAAAGTATTAATGGTCCCTGCCGACTAATGAAGAAAGCCGTGCCGCATTCAATAACACTGACGTTTCTCTGTTCACGGCCGGAGTTAACAATGAGATAAAAGCTCTTTCACACCGCTGAATATCAGCACAGTATACATTCACTGGGTGAATCTAAACTTACTATTCACAATCACTGACTTTAGTTGAGATTAATAAATATTTAAACACGATACTGTGTTAATAATAAACACAATCGGATGGATGGATGGATGGATACATAGATAGATAGATAGAGAGATAGATAGATAGATAGATAGATAGATAGACAGATAGAATTACAGAATGATAGATAGAACGACATAATGATAGATAGAACGATATAACGATGGATGGATGGATAGACACATTGACAGAAGGATAGATAGATAGATAGATAGATAGATAGATAGATAGATAGATAGATAGATAGATAGATAGATAGATAGATAGATAGATAGATAGATAGATAGATAGATAGATAGATAGATAGATAGATAGATAGATAGATAGAATGACAGAATAATAGATAGAACGATATAACGATAGATAGAACAATAGAACGATAGATAGAATGACAGAATGATAGAATGACAGATTGAACGCTAGATAGAACGATAGATAGATAGATAGAATGATAGATAGAATGATAGATAGAGCGATAGAATGATAGAAAGAATGATAGATAGATAGATAGATAGAATGACAGAATGATAGATAGAACGATATAACGATGGATGGATGGATAGATAGACACAATGACAGAAGGATAGATAGATAGATAGATAGATAGATAGATAGATAGATAGATAGATAGATAGATAGATAGATAGATAGATAGATAGATAGATAGATAGATAGATAGATACAGTGGGGCAAAAAAGTATTTAGTCAGCCAACAATTGTGCAAGTTCTCCCTCTTAAAAAGATGAGAGAGGCCTGTAATTTTCATCATAGGTATACCTCAACTATGAGAGACAAAATGAGAAAAAAAAATCCAGAAAATCACATTGTAGGATTTTTAAAGAATTTATTTGCAAATTATGGAACTTACAACATTTGTTATATATGTCAAACGTACAGTTACTCTCTATTGAGTTAGTTTTTATGCACTGCCTCCTACTGTACTGGAGGGGGCACTATTGTATATGTGAAAATACCACCCTCATAGCAGCCTGCATAATGTATTTGCATGAATTTATAATCTTGCATGTACTGCCAATATTTTGCATTTTTACTTAATTTATACTAGATTTTAACAGCCAACCTTGTAATTTTTGGTGACGTGTACAAGAAGCAGTATTTCTGCTTTCTGACAAGTGCATAATAAAGTAAGTTGAAGTGCATAATTGCTTCACACATCAGCTTCTTTTGACATTTTAGAGTGCAAAGTGCCAAGGGGGACAAGCAGCAATAAATGAAGCACACTAGCGTACATTATTACATTAAACATGTGGTTAAATATCCAGGCTCAAGGCATTTTCTCAGGAAAGCACGTGTGTGTGTGTGTGTGTGTGTGTGTGTGTGTGTGTGTGTGTATTTCATCAGAACTGCTGTCTGCTGACTGTGGATGAGCTGAAGGTCTTGTGAGTCAACAGGTGTGTGATTAGACGAGCGTGATATCGATAGGCCACAGGAGAGCAGCAATTAGCCAACTGCTTTCTGAGGGCAGACAGCAGCTCAAGGCTGAGCGCTCACACACTCACACACACACAGCTGTCTGACAGCATAGAGGTATCGAACGACGTCTATGCTCACAGTGTGTGAAACACAGCGGCTGTGTGATGTGTTCTTGTGTTATCTAATAACAGCATGACTGTGTGTGTGAATGTGGAAATATCTCCTTTCATATTCCCATAGGAATTGCTGGAAAAAGAAATGATCAGGATCTTGCTGAAATAAAAACTCTCTTCTTGAATCATCATTTAAGAAGAGGTTTCATCTTCTGTTTTAATGAATATTTACAATGCAAATGATCATCTAAGTTCAAATATTTATTCTCCACAAGGCAAAATGATCTAAAAAAAACTCTAACTCTTTATAGTAATAGTAATTAAAATAATTAATTTTATTTCCAGCAGGCAAAACATTGCATATAATAAAAAAACAACATAATCATGCGGTTAGCATAGCAAATTAAAATGGCTCTAAAATGAACTTTTAAAATGGAGGAGCATTTGATATCAAATGCTATGCATTCACACAAACTTCATTATATTTTCCAAGGAAATCATATCTAGCGATTATTGTTCAAAAGTTTGGGGTCGGTGAGATTTTTACATGTTTTTGAAAGTAGTCTCTTCTGCTCACCAAGGCTGCATTTATTTGATTAAAAATACAATTAAAAACAGTAATATTGTGAAATATTATTACAATTTAAAATAACTGTTTTCTATTTGAATATAGTTTAAAATGTAATTTATTCCTGTGATGCAAATCTGAATTTTCAGCATCATTACTCACATCTTCAGTGTCACATGATCCTTCAGAAATCATTATAATATGCTGATTTGCTGCTCAAGAAACATTTCTGATTAATATCAATGTTGAAAACAGTTGTGCTGCTTTATGTTTCTGAGGAAAACATAATTTTCATGTGCATTCAAAATTCAGTTTTTTTTTTGTAAAGAAATTAATACTTTTAATTATTCAGCAAGGATGCATTAAAACAGAAAAATGTATGCTTTTAATAAAAAATATATATTTCAAAATGTATTTACATACATACATTTTCATGTTTAGGTTCATTTGTCTGGTCTCTTTGAATACAGAATGACTGACAGAGACTCTCACCCAATAGCGTGTCTGTTCCGTTTCTCTGTGCACCATATGGATAGCTGCGATAGGCTGATGGTGAGCGGGGCGGGGAGATGCCAGGTGACCGCGGTGGAGACCACGCCTCCTGTCAGATACACATTCATTATAATCATCATCAAGTACAGGAAAAGTATCAAGCTAGTGCTGCTTGTCATCACTGATAACCCGACCTGTTTGTCCATGCTGGTGTCAGGGTGTCTGAGGACAGGTCTGTCTGCAGGGGGACGAGGGGCGGAGCCTGTAAGCGAGCCCAGGATGTGAGGCTGACTCTCATTGGTCGAGGGGTGATTGGGGTAACGCATCTCAAGCTCGTTCATTATCCCGACGAACACAGGGAGAGGAAGTTCTGTAGAGAAGAGTAAATGACAGTATGTTCATAACAGTGTACTACTCATACTACTTTCTGTGTACAGTGGATTAAAGAAGAATTTCACTTTTTAAAAAATAATTTATTATTAATGATTTATATTTTATTACATTTATTTTTACTTTATTTAGTTTGTTTATTTTTACATCTTATTAAATTATGACACAACTTTTAAGACTTGAAAAATGAATTTTATTATTATTATTTTTTTACGATCAAAGTGACTCATTTTGTGGTGGTAATTTTCAGAATTTCGTGGAAAACGTGCTGTTATTTTTATGATTATGATACCACATTTACCATATTATGTATGGCACTATATGTATAATAATTAGTGCTGTCAAACAATTAATCGCAATTAATCGCATCCAAAATAAAAGTTTTTGTTTACATAATATAGGTATGTGTACTGTATATGTTTATTATGTATATATAAATACACACACATACAGTATATATTTTGAAAATATTTACATGCCTATACATTTATATTCTTATATATATATATATATATATATAAACATAACATATTTTTCTTAAATATAAACATGCATCTGTTTGTATTTACATATAAATAACAAATATACAATTAATCGTTTGACATCACTAATAATAATCATACATGACAGGGGAAAAAACTAATTGCAGAAAGCCTAAATATTTTTGTCTTATCAAATTCTCACACACAACTTTTCAGCAAGATATTAATTAATAATTAATAGTGCTGTCAAACGATTAATTGCGATAATCGCATCCAAAATAAAAGTTTTTGTTTACATAATGTATGTGTGTGTACTGTGTATATTTATTATGTATATGTAAATACAAACATATGCATGTATATATTTAAGAAAAAATGTTATATATAAAATATTTATATATAATATAAAATATAACAATGTGAATATAAATGTAATGATATATATATATATACTGTAAATATATAAATGTAAATAAAAAAATTAAATTTTTACAAAATATAAATTATATAAATGTATAAACACTGTATGTGTGTGTATTTATATATACATAATAAATATACACAGTACACAAACATATATTATGTAAACAAAAACGTTTATTTTGGATGTGATTAATCATTTAACAGCACTAATAATGAATAAAAATAAATAAATAAATAACAAATTAATTAATAAAAAGCAAATAAAAAAGTTTAAAAAAAGTAATAATAATGGGAATTAAATTTGTGATTTTTTTTGGCAATCAAAATGACTGATTTTGTGGCTGTAAATGATATTTTGCAACACACTAGATGTAAAACAGTCATATGACAGGAAAAAAAGTAAAACATTTTCTGTATTATAAAATTTATTAAAATTTTTAAACAATTTATTTTTAGTTATGAAAAATACAAATGTGTCAGTAATGGTATTTATTTTTTTATCAGACTAATTTTGTGGGTTAAACGGCAAATTATACAGGATTGCAAAAAAAAAAGATTTTGCATTGTTTCAAGATCCCAGAATTGCGAAAAACCTGAGGCATCAGCTGGTATAGCAAGAGCTAAACTTTGCACAAAAACAGGAGCAGGACTGAGAACCGCTGATCTAGATGATCTTCTTTGAAAAGTAAACATAACCTAGCCAATCATCTCTCAAAGGAACCTTTGAGGTCATCTTGATAAATCTTTCTTTTTGGTCCACAAACTCAATCTTTATCCTTGTCTTTCCACAGTAAAAGGAGCAGATAGTGACATTTGTGGGTTAAACAGAAGCTGACGTGAGGTCACCTGAGCTCCTCTCTCCGCTGTGAGGGTCTCGCAGACCCGCGACTTCTTGAGGAACAGTCTGTACCAGGATTAAAGACTAATCCAGGCTCCCTTTGCCACATTTCAGCCCGGCAGGGTGGCCTGGAGCTGTGCGGAGCTCTGAATTAGCCTAGTGCTCAATATCACAGTGTTTAAGTAAACACATTTAGGAAATGAATGTTTTGCCTCTGCTGAGTTAATATTTGATTTATTTTCTGAGCTCAGGCCCAACAGTTATATACCAACATTTTGGATAATATTATTGAAACTGGAATCTAGTGGTGCTATGATCACTGTGGAGTTACTAAGGTGTTCAACAGGAAACAAAGGTGCTCACAAATAAAATTATTTGCTTATTTAACAAATAATATGCATAATTACTCATTTTTTTGTTGCATTTAAACAAAAAATGCAAAGAAACCTGTGATCATTTGGGTTGAAAAACAACAAACAATTTGATAAATAACTACTTTTTATGAATAATACAAATATTAATTACATTTTTACCCTAATAATAATTAAATATATCATTAAAAAATACAATAAATAAAGATAATACAAATATTACCATAGTATTAATATTGTTAATAATGCTTTATTTTATGGGGTTTATTTAGCAGAAATAATGATGCATTAATAAATAATAAATATAATAGATTTAATTAAAAACAACATAAAAATAAATAATATAACAATCATCATCATAATATAGTTCGAATACATTTTTTATTTGAACTGATTTCTTAAGCAGAAATAACTAATAATTGGCTATGCATATGCAATTTATAAATAATTACTTTTATAAATAGTAAGAAATAATATGAATTATTAACATAATTAAATAAATAATTTAACAGCAACAACAACAACAACAACGATAATAATAATAATAATAATAATAATGTATATTTTGCTATCTTCTTTTTTTTTTTGCCGAAATCATAAACAATATTTGGTTATGGATATTGGTTATTGGACCTGCCTCTGTATTGGTCATGTAAAAAAAAACAACAAAAAAACTGATCTCTATATTTTAAAATTATTATTATTTTTTTTTTTCCCCAAGACCCACTAATACTGTAATACATTTTATTTTCTTTGGTGGATTCTAAAGTAAACTGAAATAAAAAGGAATTAATAAAAAATGAATAATGGTGAGAAAATAATATCACAATCTTAAGTAATACAGCTTTCAAATGATGTATTGCTTGGTTTCATTCATAATGTGTCAGTAAAAACACTACTTTAATGTCACACAAGAAAAAGTTAACTTCTAATGCTAACACACAGATTTAAAGGGCAAGACCATAAAAGGAGACCCTCACAAGCGTTTGAGGAAACAATCCTGCGGTTTAGTTCACACAGCTCATTCTCAGCGAGATTTGGCTCAGCGTGTGGCGCTCTCTCCGTGCAGAACGGCCTCTGTGCGTTATCCCTCTTAAGCGCTAGAGCAAATCCCTGATCCCGTTAGCTTCTCTGAGGACTTACCGCCTGCGACGCTCTCCAGACGTACCGGCAAACCCACCTGCGCCGCGGCCATCAGCTTCAGAGCCACGTAAAACTGTCCACAGCCGAAATAGCCAAGCCGCTTAGCACCGCACACCTCTGTTACCTGTTATGAAGAGAGAAAGTGAGAGATTTATTAATCAGTGGCCACATAGAGACTTTAAAATCACAGAATGTATATTAGTTAAATGAATTAAGCTACAATATCTCAAAGGCGTTCATTAATGTGAAGTGGACTTCATGGATTCTTTCTTAATGGGTCAAATTGCCAACACGGGAAAATGAAAAGATAATAGCTAAATCCTCATTATCGGCTCTACAGTGGAAAGAATAGCCGGGTTGAAGATAAACCACACTCTGAAGAGGCTGAAGTTCACTCTTATCTGCACTTCTGTAATTGAAACCTGGTATTGTAATGACAGCCGCGGGCACAGAAAAGAAAGCGCGCGTCCTGCAGGAAGTGTTTAACGACAAACACAGACCTTCTGATTAACAACGCAACTCACTTCAGACAGACGCAGATGTTCAAATCCTCTACTCCTGCTGAAAACACACGCTGGTCTAAGCTGCTTTAAGATAGGCTTCCAGTGCTAAAAAGTGCCCAGAACCTCTCTAAAACCTTCAACAGACCAGCCAGAACAGGCTCAGACCAGCTAAACTACCTTAAGACGTCTTTTAAGAAGAGTTGATAGGTCAAACTCTTCAAAACATTGTAAAATACCATTTATTTTTCATTATTACACGGCTCTGTGGAATACTTGATTCTGATTGGTCATTCGCGACATTCCGAGGTACGCTATCCCTCGATAACAACCGGTAAAAGCTAATAACGCAGGCTCATCCGGGTAACCGCAGTCGGCGCTGTACTCTTGCTTGAACTATTTTTTCTTGGTGGAAGCTTTGCGTTTGTTTAGCGAATAAAATATTAAAACTCGATTCAAAATGGTGTACACTTATTTAATTATGTCATCCTGGTATCGCGGACTCGCTCTCGTTTCATACAAACGCAGCTGCTGCCATTTTGCTACGATTGTTTTGTACGCTGTAATGGATTATAAGAGAACTAACAAACTGGTAAGGTTTTAAAACATTTTCGTCTTAATTCTTTTATTGCCTTAATTATTTTGGTGGTGAAATGTTGTGTAATAAGTGGTTTGACTGCACCGTTTCCCTTAAATGTCCGTTTAGTTTGAATTTGCCGCTTGCTCGCAACTGCTGTCTTCACGGAAGCTTTATGTTCAAATATTTCAACTCAAATTAATATTTTGCGTCTTATTATATACTTATGTGGCAAGTAGCCATGTAACAAGCGGGATAATGTACATCCAGCCGGTTGTTATCTCAGAATATACCCCTTCAGGCTGAAACAAGACCCCTCCGCTTCGCATCGGGGTCCTGATCACCCTGTCGGGGTTTATTCTGAGATAACAACCGGCTGGATGTACATTATCCCTTACATAATATGACGTAAACTACTGTTGAAAAGTTAGAGGTCAGTATTTTTGTTTTTTTAAATATTAATAATTTTATTCAGCAAAACTGAATTAAATTGATCAGAAGTGACAGTAAAGACATTTATAATGTTACAAAATATTTCTGTTTTTAAATAAATTATGTTCTTTTGAACTTAAAAGAACCCTGAAAAAAAATTTCTAAAAATATTTCCACAAAATATTATTTATTTATTTACTTGAGTAGCAAATCAGCATATTAGAATGATTTCTGAAGGATCATGTGACACTGAAGACTGGAGAAATGATGCTGTTAATTCAGCTTTCCATCACAGGAATAAATTACATTTTACAATATATTCAAATAGAAAACAGCTACTTTAAATTGTAATAATATTTCACAATATTACTGTTTTTATTGTATTTTTGATCCTTCTTTAAAAACATCACGAATCATACAGACCAGAAACTTTTAAACAGTAGTGTATTTGGAGTGAAACAAGATATTAACATTCAAAAAGTAAGGGCAAGTCTTGATTTTATGCATTCGAATATGAAAGAATGGTGAAAAGTGACAGTAAAGACATTTATAATGTTACAAAATATTTCTGTTTTTAAATAAATGATGTTCTTTTGAACTTAAAAGAACCCTGAAAAAAAATTTCTAAAAATATTTCCACAAAATATTATTTATTTATTTACTTGAGTAGCAAATCAGCATATTAGAATGATTTCTGAAGGATCATGTGACACTGAAGACTGGAGAAATGATGCTGTTAATTCAGCTTTCCATCACAGGAATAAATTACATTTTACAATATATTCAAATAGAAAACAGCTACTTTAAATTGTAATAATATTTCACAATATTACTGTTTTTATTGTATTTTTGATCCTTCTTTAAAAACATCACGAATCATACAGACCAGAAACTTTTAAACAGTAGTGTATTTGGAGTGAAACAAGATATTAACATTCAAAAAGTAAGGGCAAGTCTTGATTTTATGCATTCGAATATGAAAGAATGGTGAAAAGCTGCAAAATAAAAGGGCTTGATGATTGGACGTTTTAAAGGTGGAGCAAGTTTGCACATATTGTTTTATGATTACAAACCAATTGGAGTAATATTCGACAACAAATGATTTAAAATAACTGCACAAATATGCGTCGATTTTAATTCCTGTGAATTTCAATACTTAAATACAATTCAATACTTAAAAAGCCATCAAAATCTAAATTTGTTCATATTTACAAAATACATTTACGGTGGTCAGTGAAAACTTTGGAAATGTTTTCTTTGTACTTTTGTCAATTAAATAAAAGTTAAAGAGAAAGAACAAATCACAGATTCTTGATTTTATTGCATTTTTACAAAACGTCCCAACTTCTCTGGAATTGGGGTTGTACAAAGTCTAAATCATGTCTGTATCACTATCCTGTAGTACTATGAAACATAAACTAGAATTTCCTCCTGAGAAAAAGCACACAGTGGCATTAGAGTCATTGTTATATCACTCCACACTGCTGAAATCCATCCTTCCGTACAGACATAATCAATAGAGTCCAGCTCTGGGATTCATTGTAAACGTCTTTTAACACACACAGGAAAATATCTGTGTGCTTTAAATAGCAGCACATTGTGTTGTGTGCTGTTAAATATAACAAAAGCCTGCGTGGAGCCAAACTTGTTTCCTTACTGAATAACTTCTCTTCAAGTAAAAGTTTCACTTCAAGACTCTTCAGAAAAAGCATAATATAGCTAATAGAGAAAAGCATGAAAATGTGTCAATGCAAGTAAGGTCATGATTGTTCTTGAAACTCTAATCTCCCTCTGCCTTTCCAAACATTATCTGAAGAACTTCTCAAACACTGACTCAGTGTTCCTGTTCCACTAGGTGTGATGGGATTATTGATCGCGTTCTCCTCCGATCCATGCAGTGCCGATGGTTGATTACTCAATGCTGCGCTTAAAGTGAACCTTAGCCAAAAATGACCCAAACAGAAAACCTGCTGCAATATTCTCATCTAATCAATCGCAGGGGTCCGGCAGATCAGGCTTTAGATGGATATGTCTCCAAAACACATTCGTACTTATTTCTAAAGGAAGCTGAGACATTCTGACCTCCTTGCAAACATGAAGAGAGTCGATTTCCACAGAAATAATGAAATATTATCTGAACATTACATATGAATTTGACATCATTACACATCTAGTAATTATATATGGTCATCAACAAGCTTTCCAGTATGCCATGAAAAACTACATCCAACATGAGAAACTGTAAAGAAACATGATCAGGGTCACAGGTGATGTTTAAATAAAGTCTAAAAAGTCTAAAATGTGTTTGGATTAAATAGAGAAAAAAAGATGAACAGATTAAACAGGATTTTTATTTATTAGTTATTTCATATTGATAATGCTGTGTAATTGAAATGTGCAATTGAATGTATAAAAATAATTGTTCAAATTATAGTTTTTTTGACATTTCTTTGGACATTTTAAGGCAAAGGATCCTTATTTCATATTATTTTTTGTAAGTTCTTGAAATAAAATACACACACACACACACACACATATGTATATGTATATATATAGGGCGGTCAGTTTAACGCGTTAACGTTATGAAAAAATAACGCAATTAAAATATTTTAACGCAGTTAACGTACTGGCCCGGCCCCCAGACATGTACGTCATCTTACATTTCATACAGTTGACTGTTGACAAATATGATGCAGGGCAACAACTACATTAAAGCAGTTATGCCCAAAAATTCAAGATATTGGGTCAAAAAAACATGCCCCTGTATAAGTTTTTGTCTCATATTCATACCATATGATAAGCGATATCACACCAGCAGCGAGAGCAATATCACAAGAGTGCTGTTTTTGTCACGAAGAACACAAGTGCAAATTAGATCTTATGCAATAGTTCAGTAAATAAGACGTTAATATTGTGTTATATTTTAAACAAAATATTGTGTTTTTGTTCAATTTTGCCAACGAAAATATTACCTATAAAGCCACCGCAGAACTGTTGTCTGTCTCCGAGCAACACAGCGGTGTTTACTTTCTGAATGAATCCTCGTTTTGAACGAATCGTGTGAACCAATGATTCAAAGTCCTATTCATAAAGAGAGCCGTTTACTGAATTCCTGAATGAATCAGCCGTTTGAACGAATCCACTCAAAGACATTTACCGCCACCTGTGGGTAGTTTTAGTTTCTTCTTTAGAGTATCATTTTCTTGAATTAAAACAATAAAAAAAAAATTGTTAGATAGTTCACCAAAAATAAATAAATATATTTTGTCATCATTTACTTACCCTCATGTTTTTTTTTCAAACCTGAATGACTTACTTTCTTTTGCACAACATAATTTTTTTTATTTTGAAGACTGTTGGTAACAAAGCTGTTTGCATTGCATGAACAAAAACACTGAGATGTTTCTCGTCTCTCAAATTATCTTCTTTTAAGTTATATACTTTATGTTAGGTCGTTGTAGCCAAAACATTTATCACAACAATAGCTTTAAATGATCTTTTAGGGGTATTGACACAGCCAAATTTAGTTTGTGATTAATTAGATTAATTAATTGCAGTACCCTGTAATTAATTAGATTTAAAAAATGTAATCGACTGACAGCCCTATATATATAT